CTCAGAGGTGGGTGGACTCGGCTAGCACTAGGCTAGCACGAATGAGAACTCACTGGAATGGGGGGACATGTCAACCCCGATTGTGCCCCACTACAATGGAAAGTATCTGGGCATGTTCAGAGCAGAATGTGATAGCTTCTGGCAAAGGGAGCTAGATTCTCCCAAGACTGTCCTTTCCAGAGAAGGCTGTCTTTAGCTCTTTGACATCTGCTGGGTCTCAGCAATACCAGTCTCCATCCTCAGTGCGGTCAGCCCCCAGGTTCCGGCCACCACAGAGCTGACAGAGCAGGTGCACAGTGAATTGTTCTGGAACACAGACCTGGCCAAGGCATTATCCAGACCAGGATGCTCCAGTGGTTCCCACTACCCCCGGATGGAGCCCACAGTCCTCCAAAAGGTCCAGCAAACACTGCCAGCAAACTCTGTAGCCCCATCTCCTACTAAGCACCTACCTATCATCCACCTCACTGGGACACCATCCCAGACTGTGTTGCCCCCAGGAAGCCCCTGGGCAGGCAGGCCCCTCCATTTCTTGCTACAGGGCATGGGTTAGCTATCAAGTCTCTCTGGTAGGCTGGGTGCTCCTGGGGGCAGACTATGACTGATCAGTTCTGGCCTAGAGTCAAGCCCCCTGCCCTCACAGAGGGTGCTGATCACTATCACTAACCACGGTGCCATCTGCCTCTGGGCCTCCACTCTGCATCTATATATGAAGCCTGGACTCGATCAGGCATGGCAAATACAGAGGTCACACACTACCACTTACATCCCGGTGTTCATGGCAGACGTCGCCCATCAGTGTCTGCTGAGCCTGCACACGGCTTCAGAATCATTCTCAACAGTGTTCCAGCAGCCACCACCAACCCATCAGGGCTGGCGTCTGAACAGACACGTTGCCTGCTTTTGAGAGAAGATGGCTAGAGTTTCTCTTTCTCCCTCCATCATTTCCCTGCTTTGCTCTTGTTCTCTATTCTCTCTCTGTAGCTGACTGCTGTGGAAGAACACTGGGATCCTGGACCAGCGAGCCTGGGCTGAGATTCTGATTACAGCCCGCAGCGGATAACTCTGTGCAGGTCATTCACCTTTCCCAGTCCCACTCTCCCAATCAGCCATGGCTCCTCTGCAGAAGCACTGTGATCAAAATGAAAGTAAGTTGCATGTCTAAAAACACTACATAACTGAAAACAATCACTGGAATTTAAAACAAAACAAGAACAAAAACAGCCTGTACTCAGTGCTCCCTTCTTCGTGACCCCTGCCCTCCTGCCATTCCCCAGCTCTAGACCTAGAAATCCTCATTGGAGGGTGCCTCCCTTAGAACTACCTTAGGGCCAAGGGGCTGGGGGCCCACCCGCACCAGCAGGCCTGGCCAAAACTAAGCTGAGTCTGCCAGATGTGCAGCCCAACCGACTTAAGCTGCATGGGGAAAAAAAAAAAAAATGCCACTGCTTGCTTATGTAAAATCCATCTGGATCCAAAGCAGAAAATCCAAGTTGGAAAGGCCCTCAGAGACCATCTGGTCCACCCTGCTTCATCTCCTAGTGAGGAAACTGGGGCCCAGAGATGGGGAGCAACTTGCCCAAGGTCAGTCGGCAAGTACATGGACAAGCGGGACTAGAACAGGTATCCTCAGACTATCGTCTTCTGGATCCTTCCCCATTCCAGGACACACCCCTGGGCCCTCCAAGCCTGGTCAGAAAGAGGATCTAGAGCTTTGGGGCTGGCTGGACTCCACTCCTGGTAACGTGAGCAACACGAATCAACTCAGTTCAAACATTTGCTGGGTCCCTAGTGCATGCCAGATGCTGGGGATGCCAAGATGAAGGCCGTCTTTTTACAAGGAGCGCAGAGAAGTAGAATGTCCTTGCTAAGTTCTACCATAACCCCAAGAACCCCCAAATACTCCCCAATATTGTGAGGTATGGTCAGGCTGGGTCCTAAACCACCTCTCTGCCAGCCCTCAACTTGCTACCAGACACGTCTCATGCCACAGGACCAGGGTTCTGTCCACCTTAGACACCTCAACACCAAATAAGAAAAAGCCAACAGATGGAACCTAACGTGTGGATGGCCACACCTTCTGACCCCGGGAGTAGCCTTGCAGCCTGGCAGTCTGAGGAAGTAAGCCCCCTGTGTTCCTTTCTGAGGGGCTGGGATGGGGGGTAGACAGCTGCTCCTTCCCACCCACCCTGGAGGCCCCACTGGCTTCGAAATTTAGCACCAACTGGGGGCGGAGTCCTGATGTGAAAACTGGGCTGGCCACCGTGGGACAGGATCTGGTCAAAGCTGGGTCAGCCAACCCAGGCTGGCTGTCTTGGTGCAAAGACCCTCCCCCTGCCACAGAGCTGCCCACCCAGACTGTGGCCAAGCAGGGGAAGAAGTGCAATTGTTGGCAGCAGATAAAACCCGATAGCATCTCTATTTCCCTTCTAATATCAGAGTGGCCGCCTGCAAGATGAGTGAGGGGGAGGGCCGGCAATCAATAGCTAATATTCCCATCGTGAGCCAGCCTACTCTGGAAATGGGCAGTCACTACCTCCTTCCAGAGAGATACCCTTTCCCCTCAGCAGTGACCCAGCCTGAGTAGGTCAGCATCACAGCCAGGAAGCACCCTATCCGCCTTCATCTTCATCTGATTAGAAAACGATGTCCTCACCTGAGGAGGGCGTCGGGGGGACAAAGTCAGCCAAAGTCACCCAGGAAGCAGGAAGCAGGAAGCAGGAAGCAGAGCGTCCGGGGCACATGGGTCCCTGCTCCATGTCTGCCCCCCGCCCCAACTCTTGGTGGTTCATCCTGACTGGGGTTCAGAAAAGACCTCCACTCAAGAGGGTCCAAAAGTTACCTCTGTTTGATGGTGGCTGGAAGTGGCCAAATAAGGACAAGAATCAGTCTGGGCTTTCTGACCACACACCCCTGAACGTCACAGGGGAGGGCCCGAGAAGTATGTCTGGAATTAGGCCTTAACCATGGACAATTATACCAAAGCAGGAAGTTAAGAACTGCCCACATATCAGGGAGACCTTGCCTTGCCCAGACTCAGGCCAAAATAGAAGTTAACGAACGACGTATTTAAAAAATACAGCTGGCTATATTCTACCTCTTCCCACCACAGCGGCCTGCACTGGGCACTCAGATGCCAGCAAGTAGCCTCAACAGGCATGCACACAGGTGGAGCCTGGTATCCAGGGCTTTGTCCACCAGGCAGGAAAGCCACAACTGCACGGTATCCAGGGTGCCCATGGCATCGTGTAGGAAGATGTGTAAGCCTGGGAAGGAAGGCCCAAGCAGGTAGAACACCTGTGGGAAAGACAAGCAACTAGGTACAGAACACCCGTCTACGGTGGCCAGGAAGATGGCTGCCCCTTGGCATGGATGACCGTCTCAGACAGCAGCCCCTGGGCTTCCCCTGTGGGGAAAGAGCAGAAGCCCGTCTGGCTCCTTTCTTTCTTTGGGTTTCCAAGGATCTGAATGTCTCCTTCTCTTCCAAGTCTGACCCCTCTTCCCAATGCCTTACCTCAAGCCAAGCCCCGAGCAATGCCTGGTCTGGTCTAATCAAGAGCCGACACACCCCATTTCCGCCCCACGGCAAGGATCCAGTTTGGGTGTCATGCTAGGAATGTATACAGATATATGTGTGGCCATCCAAAGCCCTTAACCGCCATCCCTACACCCCTCTCACTCACCCCCACTGCCATCGTAGTGTGGGCAACCTGCTCTTTCTGGTTTTGGGGAACACCCAAACTTCACTGATTCCCTCCTTGGTTAGTAAGCAGCACATCCAAACCCTTCTCTCCTGGGAGTCAAGATCAACCGAAATGTGAAATCTTACAAGGTAGAAGTGTCACCTAGGTCATCTCCCACCAGGGAGAAAACCCCCTTTTTTGTCCCCCTTTTGCTTAGATGTCTTAGTAACAGGGAGCCCCTGCTTCCTGCAGTCTGCGTCTCACTGCTGGACACGCAAGGTGTGAAATTCTGGCTTACACCAAGCAGAAGTCTCCTTGAACTTTCTCTCAGTGCTCCCAGTTTTGAATTCTTGGGCTTCACAGAGAGATCTTGGCCGCCTTTTCTATACAAAGTGCTAGCCTTTCAACGGGGTGCGGAACACAGGCAGGTTCTCAAATCCCGCCGCAGACAGGTTTGAAGGAATGAAATGTTACACTCAAAGAAGCTCCTTCCAGCCCTGCACGCTGATACCTCCCTGAGACGGCATTCCCCAGTCTCAGCCTGGTTAAAATCGAATGAGTCCTTCCCGCCCCCGAACCCAGGGGACCGCGGAGATAGGAGGAGGCGGCACAGAGGGGCCAGCAGCCACACCCAACCCTGACAGAAGACAAAGCCCCCAGAGGCCGACAAGGTGTCTTTTGGAGAAGACCGGGCTCTCACCCCACGTGGGACCTGCCCCTGCCTTTGGCGGGCGGAGTGAGGGCGCAGATGCTCGCGGGATGCCGACTGTGATCACACTCGGAAAAAATCAAGTGGTTAACCAGAGGGGAAGGATTCCGAGACCTGCCAGGATGGTGGGTTTTTTGGTTTTTTTTAGATTACGCCTAAGGTTTGTAGTTTGGACAGGCAAAGTAAACAATGACGATGACAGCAGCAACAAAACAGAAACAAAGAACGGTTTACTTGTGTTTAAAAAAAAAAAAAAGCCTTTTGTTATAAAAGACAGCTCCCCACGGCCTTGGAGGCAGTCCCACGGCCTCCCTGACCAGGGGCGGGCTGTGTGGTGCCTTCAAAGCTGCTATGAAGAAAACCAGCTCGGGCACAAGTGACACGGCACGTGCGGGGGCAAGTGGGGGCTGCCCTCCATCTCTTTTCTCCCCTCCTCAGGTTTTGGAAGGGGTGGAGAAAGGGAAAGGAGGAGTTGGAACCAGCATAAAGCAACTGTATTTAGACCATGGCAAACTGAGCTACTACTTACTTTTCTCTCCCTCCCTCCCGCCTGCCTGGGCCTGGCCTGGAGCGAAAGGAGCAGGGGACCGAGGGGGCCCAGCACGTACCTGAAAGAAACCTGGCGGGATGGGGCCTCCCGGCATCCCATCGTTGGGGGGAATGTTGCCAAGCACGGGGCTCGGGGCGGCTGCCGCACTCTGTGGAAACAAGGAAGGGGAGAGTGAGAGGCTGCACCCACCCTGAGAGACCCGGAGCTTCCGACCCCTGGCCCCCAGTTCTCCCTGTCTGCTCGCATCCTCCACAGACCCTCCTCAAACACCACCTTCCCAGGTGTGTCTCTCACTGGGCAAGTGAGGAACTCTCCGAGCCTCTGTTTTCTCATCTCTAAAGTGGGAGAACAACATCCACCGCTTCACGCATGCATTGCAGAGCACAGCACACAGTGGCTGTTGCTAATGTATGGATGTTCTGCCTTAGCCTCTCAGCTGCTTTATGAAGCCCCTGCAGGGCAGCCGAGGGGCTTTATAAATGTTTGTGCCCTCTCCAAGAGGCGGCATGCTGCATGGAGAGCAGATCAATCACTATCCACAACTTAATGAATGAACAGACAGCCCTGTTGGGAAATGTCCCTGGAGAGGTCGAAGGAGAGCAGGGGCCTTTTGGGCCCCATCAGGGTCCTGGGTGCCACAGGAGATGAGGTGGGCCGCACAGTGGGGGGACTGGAAGCACTTTTCTTCTTAAATGCTCCTATTCCGGCATTTACCTGGTACATCTGCCTCAGCAAATGCCTCCTGAGGGGTGAACAGACGTCGTTCTCCCCAGCCTGGCCTCCTTCCAGACAATCTGTGCCCCACCTGCCATGTGGTCAGCATGTCTGAGCCTGGGCCCACACGCACAGGCAGGGTGAGGCTGATGGGGCAAGTTACGTGCCTCCCTCCCGGGCTGGTGCCCTGCACACACACCCCTCCTCCTGCAGGACCCCCCACTCCCGCCTCAATGTCACCAACCTCACACACATCCCCTACTGAGAATTTGAGACTCAATCACCAATCGCCTCCCAGGGGTCTGACCGGTTCTCCTGGACAAGAGTGAGCCCCCTGGGGTCAGGAAACAGAACACCTCTTTTTCTCTTACAAATGCAGCAGAATTCACTTCTTCCCTTTCCTCAGCCAGGAAATAGGAACCAGAACTCCTAACTTCCAACTTTGATAGAAGGAAATGAGGTAATGTGTGAATCCCATGGACACACGACCCAAAGCAAGATGAACCCCTGGGGACCCATGCATCTGGACTCCAGTGCTGTTACCTGTTACCTGTACTAGCAACAGAGGGCCATGGGCAAGCCACTTGGCCTTCCCGCCCCAGTTTCCTGTACAAAGTGGGCATCGCTGTTGTCCTGCCCGCTCATCAGGGTTGTGGAGGATTATAGGACAGGATGGGCTGTGTTTGTGAACCGGGAAAGCTTGGTAATCTGGAAGCAAGGAGGGCTCAACATGGGCAGGCACAGGGTGTCTTAACAGACCCAGCTAAAGAGACTGGGGTGGGGATGGGCTGGCCACACTAGCCCAGCATCTCAAAATGCTTCTGCCTACGGACAGGCAACCCTCTCTGTAATTAAAGAGATTCCGCCAACCAACCTGTCATGTGTTACAAGCATCCCCAAACATCATGAATGAGGTCTTCCCACCTTCCCGGGTGAGAGCCCCACTCAGGAGGAGGAGGGGCCAGCCTGCCTCTGCTAGCCCCCTCCCCTCACCCCAGCATCATCTGGGTAAGGGCCGCCTGGGGGAGTATGCCAGGCTATCCGTTAGCTGCACTGTTTGTCTGTGGTTGGTGGTTCTGTGGAAATGCAACTTTTCAGGATTTACAGCCAACAGTCATTCCTCAGAAGCAGGGGCAGGAAAGTTTGAAAGAAAAATCAGAGTGAGGTAAACAGGCTCCCACGTCTTCAGGTTCCGTCAGAGATCAGTCTTACATTTAACTCTTTAATCTTTCAGGAACTTATTTTGGTACAGAATATAGATTTGACTCCGAAGGCAGTGGCCTCAGTACGACTTTGCCCCACTCATTTGAAACCCGGAGGCAAAATCCTTACAAAGGCTTGGGTCTGTTTCTGCGCTTTTAAATTCTGTCCAACATCTCTATCATTCCATTGCCATGATCGGAGTTTCACCATGGATCTTACTTTCTCCTCCAATTCTTCAGGGGAAGTTTTCTGGCTCATTTTCACCTACCTAACCCTCCAAACATCAGATCATTTATAAAAGTCACCCTCCTACCAAAAGAAAAAAGTTCATATACGTATAACACACACAAATAGACACACATCGATGCATATATGTACAGTATATGTACATATACGTATATGTACAAATCTGGAGGAGAAATGCCATCTTTCTCAAACAGAGGTGACCTCCCAGGACATGGTCTTTCCCCAATTACTCACACCGCCGTGCAAGTCGCAGTTGAACGGGGGGTGGGCACAACAATAATTAGCAGGTAGGCGGGAGTGGGAGTGGGCGACATGGGGAAAACCAAAACCCGGTATTGCTAAAATGAATGTTTTATTCAACAAATGTGGCACCAACTTGTCTATGGGACAAGGACCGGAAGATGGAGCTCCTGACTGGGGAGGCGCTGGGTGGTGTGCCTGGCAGGAGCCATTGGGCCTGATGCTAGAAACAGGTTGGGTCCTCCCTGCCACCCCCCACCCCATCTATCCCTGAGCCCCCAGGCGGCCTCTGAGGTAGACACAAGCACCCCCGCCTGACAGACGCAGACGGGAACGGGCTCAACACAGCCCTCTCCCTGTTTGTCCTCCTCTGTCCGAATCTACTCCTCTCCAGCCTTCGACCCAGAACCATGCTCTGTTTTTACAGAAAGATCTGGAAAGTCTCACCAACTTGATTCTTTAAATTAGCATTTATCAATTAGTACACAACACGGCAAAGGAAAAAGAAAATTAGCCACCGTGTTTTGTTAAAGAATGTCAAGAGCACTTTCCCTTCTCATTACATGGCCAAAGAAAACATGAGTTTTTAATGAGTCTAATATTATAAAGAGGTAACATCATTTAACCAATTTAATTAACAGGCATTACATCGGTGTTTGCTTCCTTGGTAGTTACAAAATGGTACCTCCCTGGTACTCGGACCTATTTTTTGGATCACTACCTTTTGAAATGGGTCTGTGCTGGCCACTTGTAGATCTACTTTTATGGGAAGATGTTCATGTCCCTTGCTATTTGTACATTTGACTCTTTCCTTGGTGATATATAAGAGCTCTTTATATTTTAAGGGTATCACATAAGGATATCTTAGAATTTAAAAAAACAAACAAAAACTTTTAAATGGAAATTTGAACCCAGGAGCATGACTTAACAAGGCTCCCTTCCTCCAAGATCTCATTTCCCTACAAAATCAGAAGTGAGTCCATGGTCCTAGGAACCGTGGGTGGGTGGGGGGTGGTCCATGGCCCTTTGAGTGTCAGGGCTGGGGTAACCGTGGTTCCAGAACATAGATGGTGCAATTCTCTCTGACATCTGGGTGGAGGACAGACTTCTGCTAGCCTCCAGTGAAAAGAAAGCCATGTTGGCAGTGATTAAGGTGGCAGGAAGCCGAGGAGACAACTTTTATCATTCAAAGCCTCATCCAGCAGCAAAAATAAGCAAAATAATTAACCTGAATTATGACGGTTACTGCTATTCTTTGATAATGAAGGAAATATGTGCTCATAAGGGAAAACTTTGAAAAGGACAGAAAATTATGACAAAGCAAATGAAAAGCAGCAACGGTGTTACAGGGCAACAAAAGGGTTAAGTGCTAACTGTGGTTCACAAAACCCAATCCACCAGACCCCTCCTCCCACCCCCACACCTGCCAGCAGGGGCTCTTTTACCCATCTCTGAGATGTGAGGCATACAGCAGGTGTTCAATAAATGATTACAACTTTTATTATTCAAAGACCTGCTCAAACCTGGCCTTCTGGAGCCAGGCCTTTCCGGATTGCTAGGAATCGGCCTCTCCCTGCGGTTTCCAGCTTTGAGTTAGAGCTCCATTAAGGCACTCAGCAAAGCGTCTCATGTGAGTTTTCTCTAAAAACACAAAACCCAAACTGAAAAGCCCCTGACGTTCCCCGAGGCCTACAGTTGTCAGGGCTGTGGTGGGTGCAGGGGGTGGAACCCTCCCACTGGAGCAGGGCAGTAAAGAGCACTGGATTCTGAAGCCGGAGACCTCCCTGTGGGCCCCTGCTGGGAGCCTCAGTTTCCCCACGTGTCCAATGGCAGGGTTAGACAGGACAATCTCTGGGGCCCTTCTTCTAAGCTGCTCTTCCCAGCCGGGTCCGCACACTCAGGGGGGCAGGGACTGGAAAGGGCAGCTCACGCACGAACAGGAGGACAGTCCTCTTTCCAGAGGACTCTGAATTTTAACTCTTCTCTGTTCACTACAGAACACTTAAGAGATCAAAGATTAAAAACCACCCAGAAACCTCTTTGTTATCAGAGACATCTGAGCTCGCCCCACCCGGGCCCTCCTCACCCACATTTATCTATATATGCATACACACATGGACTAAAAAAAGCAGAATCAAATCAGGCATGCAGTTTGGTAACTCATGCATTTTTTAAAAAACTAACTTAAAATTCTTTTCTAAATAGAAAACAGGCCTTGCACCGGGTGGCGTGGCCCACTGCAGCCAGCTGCCTCCTCTAAGACTCGGGGGTCACAGTCAATGTGCAAAGCTCAAGGTGCCTTCAGACAACTGCTTGAAGCTCTTCAAGGTCCCCAGCCAAGTACTGTATTTTTGTTTGTGGCCTGGAAGCCTTCCAAGGAGGACCGATCCCACAACCCTCTCCCTAAAGAGTAGGGCTTCTTTACGATCCCATGGTGGTTACACAGCCAGCCAGGCCCAGGGCTCACTGCAACGCCTCAGCCTGCCCGCGTGCTCCAGACCCAGACCGGCTGGTCTCACACGTGCCCTCCAAAGACAGGCGTCCCGCACTAGCAGATCTGCTTTTCAGTAGTGACCCCCACCCCCTTGCCAGTGCTGAGCATCCCAATGCGCCCTCGACTAACCCACCCGACAGCCGTAGAGTACAAACCCATGTGGCAAGTCCCAGACGTGGTGCTGGGCCCTTTCCTTGCTCCGTAGCAAGAAGTCCCCTGTGGCTCCAGGAACAGCAGGGTCAGAGGAACCA